TCATCAATTTCCTCAACTCCATTACCCTACTCCAATCTCCTTTCTCGCCGTGAACTCTACAGAGAACATCATAAGCAGCGGGATGTTCTCTCTTCAGCCTAGAGATTCCTTGAGCAGCAACTTCACCGAGCTCCAAACAAGAATGCAATCCGCAAGCCCCGAGCAAAGCACCCCAAATAACAACATCAGGCTCAAAAGGCATTCCCTTTATCAATCTCTCTGCTTTATCTAATTGACCAGCCCTTCCTAATAGATCCACCATACAAGCATAATGCTCCTTTTCTGCAGCTATCCCAAGCCTACCCATCAACATGAACTGCTTTTCCCCTTCTTCCACTAGCCCCGCATGAGCACAAGCTGATAACAAGTTAATGAAAGTCACCTGATCAGGCTTGTAACCACACGCAATCATTTTCTCGAATTCCTCTAAAGCATCCACTCCTAATCCATGTCTTGCGAAACCTCCAATCATCGAGTTCCATGAAGCCGGATTCTTCATTGACATCAATTTAAACACATGTGAAGCAGCGGTAATATCACCTGACTTGGCATACATATCTATGAGCGAAGTCGACAAGACTATGTCACAACCCATTCCTCGCTTTGTGATCATTGAATGCACTTGTTTCCCCATAAGGAGCGACGATGAAGCTGCACACGCTTTCAAAACACTTGAAAACGAGTAGTGACTTGGTCTATTATTCCAAGATTCAAGCATTTCCTGAAAAAGTATCAACGCTACTTTAAATTCCCTGCACTTCACGTACCCATTAATCATCACAGTCCAAGAAAAAACATTCTTTTGACCCATCTTATTGAACAATTCCCTAGCTTTATCGATCTTCATGTTGTTTATGTATCCAATTAACATTGTATGCCAAGTAATGATGTTCCTCTCCGGCATTTCACCGAATGATCTCTCACCATCTTCCACAAAGCCTAACTTCATGTAACCCATAATCAACACATTCCATGAGACCACATCCTTCACCAAAATTCCTTCAAATACTCTTTCTAAACCTTTCAAACTCCTTAAACTGGTGTATCCTCTTAACAAAGAAGAACCAGTATAAACGCTTAAGTTAAGACCTAATCGAATAGCAAGCGTATGTATCTGCATTATCAAAAACTTCAATCCAGAATCCGATACAGCGTCTATTATCGCAGGGATAGTACCATCATCTGGATTTAATCCAGATCTCCTCATCTCCAGAAAAAACCTGAAAACTCTCTCTGGTTCTCTGTTTTTCTTCAAACCCATGAACATGGTGTTCCAAGCCACAACATCTCTCACAGGCATTTGATCGAACACCTGGTGAGCTTCCGACATCAGACCTCGCTGAACAAAACCCGTGATCATCATGTTCCATGTTGAGTTATCCAACGATGTCGGATTCTGATCAAACAGCCTCCGTGCTTCTATCAAACCATCGTTCTTCAAGTGATCGTTGATCAAATGGTTGAGAGAAGCCGTTGGTATCGTGAAAATCCGGCGCGAAAAATGTCCGCGTAGTAAAGTTGCACTCGTCTCTAACATGCGCATTTATTTAATTAACTCTCTGTTATTTTTAGGTCTAATCTTGCACTGGACCTTTCTTTAGATATTGATCACGTGAATATCCAATACGACGTCGTTTGCACAGCTCATACAATTGCAATTCAGTTTTAATCGAACCAAATCACTCAAAAGAAGTAAATTTCAGGCCAAGAGACCAATAACAATCTAATAGACTCGTAACGTGAATATTCGGATTCGATAAGAAGAGTAAAATCAAAGTTTAACATATAGTATACTCTTAAGAATCGCTCTCTTCAAGCTTCACTTTTAACTTGACATTTTCCATCTGTACTCCTCATCTCCACTGAGTTCTACTTTCCCATTCTTCTTGATCGTTGTCAGTCGCTTTTGCTGCAATGCATCACATAGACGGCTTTTCCAATCAAATCCGGACTCGAATACTGGTGAAGTTTCCATCTATTGTCTTGTCGAGGAAAAGGCTTGAAAACGCAATGTCTCACTTCGCCAGCCAACCGTCTTGCTACGACCTCCTATCCACTTGAAATCCGTTGTGGATATAGGAATCTGATCCGGTCCAATGAACAGCCACTTCCCTTGGTGTCAATCGGAAGAGAGGCGAGGAACTCCGCTCTCCTTTTCAGTCCTTAACAAGTTGATGATTTTTGCAGCAACGGGGGCGAATTTAGTATTTGAAGAAAAGAAATTTGCCAACGAAATGGGACGTGTAGATCTTGAATCAGAAGTAACCATCCCTAGGCACGTCTCCTCTATCTATGTAAAGGAATCTCTGATCATATCATGATCATATCTCCATCGTATATTCCTCACTTATGACAAATATCATTCTTACCATTATTATGTATATTCTCTCTGTATAAATATGTACAAACCATATCAATAGATATCATCACTTTCACAAAGATTATATCGTCGCAATAGCCTGATCGTAATGCGACTCTTATGCAGTCCCACCGCGCACACTGATCACTAACCAAACTCGTAAACTCTACCCGAGGAATACTGGGATCCATGGTTTAGCTACTACTACTACCTGAAAAGCAAGTTGAGAGGATAATACAAAAGCAAACAAGAAATTAATATCAATCAAGTCACTAACAACAATATATATAATCAAAATAGTATTCTGAATAATTTTGATACAACGATATGAATAAGAAGGTCCACAATTCACAAATCCCTAAGATAAATATTTCTGTGATTATAAAAGCATAATCTTTTTTTTTTGAAAAATAAAAGCATAATCTTATTAATCATCGATTCTCAAGCAGACAAAAGCAAGGTATACAGCAGAGAATTAGTAAACCCTAATTCACGATCGTGATTAATGCAACTACATTAAGATATAATCGTGATTATTAACTTATTAAGGTACTCTAGTAACAATATCATAAACCCAGAACTAGAAGAGATTTTGTGATTTCGGAATCAATTATCATCAGTGTTAGATGATTTTACACAGAAATCAATCATTCAAATTAGGGTTTTAAGCATTTGAATTACCTCAAAAATCGCTGAATCAGAGAAGGAAGGAGGAATTGCAATTCTTCAACACGTTGAGTAGTAATGCAGAGGAAGCTTCTGGAAATCGTCCTTCTTGTGGCTTCTTTACGCTAAATTTATTGGGCTTTTAAAGTGATCTAAGGCCCATCGTGATTTTCATGGGCTGATTTTGTGAGTAGTTATTTTAATTATTGATTCTAAATTACCAAAGAAAGTAAACAATTATTGAATTAAAGGTCACATTAAAAAAGAAAAAAAAAACATAATAATGATGTAAATGGTCCATACAATATAAAGATAAAATATTACAGAAAGTATAAGGTTCATTTCAATCAA